CCCCAAAACCCCAAAACCCCAAAACCCCAAAACCCCAAAACCCCAAAACCCCAAAACCCCGGGTTACACGTCAGAGATTGAATGGATTTGATATTTTAATCAAATTTGATAGTGGAGGTAAGAGGTGAGTAGGTTACTCTATTCTTTTGAGTAAGTCAACTAGGTTAACAATGACAGACTCAGGGTCGTCAGTATGGATCCAGTGACCTGTATTAGGAATTGAAATTACATCCTCCTGTTTAATGTTTGGGAATCTTTCGTTGAAGTCTTCAAATTTCCATCTATCAGATATGCCTCCAACAAGCATCTTGACTGGACCTTCAAAGGTTTCAGTATAATCAAAGTAATACATCGAGACGATATTATCACAAAGATATTGAGGATTTACTCTCCAAACTATCTGAGATCCATCCTGGTCAGAATAGTTAAAGTTTCTCATGATTCTTGTCAGAGCAACATCATCAACCCTAAATTTTTCCTTCATATGATCTTCAATTTCCTCCATCCTTGAGAACTTGGAGAGATCAAACTCTTTAAAATATTTTACCAAAGCATATGTTCTGTCAGTGTAGCCAGGGATATGAGCAAAACTGGTTGCAGGGGCATCAATCGACATGACTGCATTGACTCTCTCAGGATATAGTAGAGCAGCTCTCATAGATGCTCTTCCTCCCATCGAGTGTCCCACAAGTGTGGCCTTTGCATCCTTGCTATTAATATTATCCAAGAAGTCGATAATATACTCAGCCTGATCATCGAAAGTAAACTTTGGATGAATAACATGATCCAATGTGTAAGTATTAGTAAGGCTAAGAAGCCTTTCATCACTGGCGATATCATCAAACTCATGTTTGGACCCATAAAGTCCATGGCAGAAGAGAGTAATGTTGCTATTGTTACTGTCTAAGGCTTTGAAATAGTTGTAGCAATGTTCTATAGTAATAGTTATCATAAGGATTCTTAATTATCCACATTAGATATAAATATGATTCGAAGTATCGAGCCTTTCACCCAATCAAGACTGGAATTTAATAAGATTTTACAGAAATATATCTAACCTCTTCAAAATATTGAAACCAAATTTTAGATGTGAATAGGATAGTGCTTTAGTTCTCAAGCTAGAAATATCCAATTTCTACAAAATTGGTGATATTTAGCTTTACCATATCTATAAAGTCCTTTGAGATATTTATGCTGATTACTTCAAAAATATGATTTTAGATATCAAAAACATCAAGATTTCAAGAATTTATCCTATTTTCGAAAAAATCCAAGCACAAGCATCTAAATCAGAACTTTTTGCTCTCAGCTTTTGCTTTAAAAGACTATATTAATACATTCATACAAATACCCTACATCAACTTACTTAATCCTCTCGGGGTCTTCAAAACTCTATTCATTTATATTTCAATTAATAATGACGTACCTGGGGTTTTGGGGTTTTGGGGTTTTGGGGTTTTGGGG